TGACCCTGAGCCCCGGACTGTGAAGTCCTGAAGGTGAACCTGAAGGTGACATGCTGAAGCCAGTCCTTTGTCTTACAAACTTCCCCTTCTGACTGCGTATAGGTGTGGTCTTACCTTGACTTAATGGTCTTAGCTTTTGTGATGGTATATAGGTGTGGTCTTACCTTGACCTTGTGGCCTTAATTTTTACAGTACTATTGTCTATCTTATGCCTGCCTGTGACTGGAATCACTCTTGTGATGTGCCCTTGAAACTAGTATATAAACACCTGGAGTTAGAAATAAAATTGCAGCAGCATTGGCAAACTTCACCTCGGTGTTGAGTGCTTTTGTCTGACTGTCATAGCCGAACCTGCTCCCACCTTTCAGTGAACCTGTATCTCCTCGTGAAATCCCGTGTTTGCTGCCCTACGGTCGGTAGCAATAATGATAATTCATTTTGAAATGAATTATCTCGAAGCCTGAATGGGTCTCTACCATGTGTATTCTTTTTACGGCTTAACATGCTGTCTACCATTGGGCTAATCTAAAAATCTGGGATCTCTGGATACAGAGGACCCACTGTGCGTCTTTCTTTCGGAGGTGGGATCTCACTAGCCTTGGGCGTCTGGGTTAGAGAGATCATCCTGCCTCCTCCTCACTGGTCCGCTCTCTAAACACAAGCTCCATGTCTGAACTTCCTCAGCCTGTTCCTTTTGTAATCTCTGCTGGCTTGACAGTGACTGTTGGGCCCCACTGGAGGCCCTGGGCCTCGCTGTTTGTCTCCTCGGCGTCTGCCCTGGTGAGCCCTGCATACGTCATGGAGCCCAGCTTTCGCTCACAACACCTCTCCTAGGTCCGTGTGTCACGACCGTGTGTAACTGTAGCATCAGTCTTGTCACTTCGTAAGTTCCTTAGCCAAGAAGGGTGCAGTATCACACAATCATGTTGTCTACATTCCTGGTGGTCACTTGAGGCCCTTTATACTCTACATTCTTCCCTTCAGAAACATTACACTCAACTATGCTTCTTAGGTTTAGGGTAAGTTGGTTTGATTGCAGACCCTTGAGGCTCATTTCGCTTCTCACTTCTCCCCTTGCAGGGCTCTCTGACTTTTGACTCCTGTTTATCTTGGCCATCTCTCAATAGCAATTCAGTAGCACCTAGTAGGTAATGCTTAATTTTTATCAGTTCTTCCAACTGGAGCTTAGACACCAGTTTGGTCTTTACAGATAGATGAGAAAACCAATCTGGAATGAATGTGCCCTTCCACACACCAAATGTTAGGCACATGATTAGTATTTTAAATTGTTCATCAGCTGTTAGGCATCTGGAGTACAGAAGTCTTTTCAAAGCTGGAAAACTGATAGATGAGGACCCAAGTCAGGAAAATCTAGAAGAATGTAGAGGCTACAGTCTCTAGTTTCTCTCTCTCTCTTTTTTTTTTTTTTTTTGGTATATGGGGGTTGAACTCGGGCCCTTGGGCTTGCAAGGCAGGCAGCAGAACCACTAAGCCAAATCCCTGGCCCAAGTTTCTCATTCTTTATGGCTAATACTCCACATCTTCTTTATCCAGTCTCCAGTTGATGAGCAATTGAGCTGTTTCCAAGTTTTAGCTATTGCAAACTGTGCTGCTATAAACATGGGTGAACATATATCACTGAGGTATGATTCTTTTAATTCTTTTGGGAAGATACCCACCAGGGGAATAGCTGGGTCAAATGGGACCTCTAATCCTAGGTTTCTTTAGCTCTCTCCATATTGATTTCCATAGTGGTTGCACCAGTCTGTGCTCCCACCAACAATGGAGAAGGGTTCCTTTCTCCACACAGCACCACCAGCATTTGTTATGGGTTAATTGCTTGATAGCAGCCATTCTTTCTGGGGTGAGGTGGAATCTCAGTGTTGTTTTCACCTGCATCTCTCATTGACCCTTGATTCTGAAATTTTTTTTTTTTTTGCTACTTTTACTTGTTTGTCTGAGAAATGTCTGTTCATTTCAGATGCCTATTTTTCAATTGGGCTTTTATATTGGGGGTTCTGTTTTTTGAGTTCTTTATATATTCTAGATAGTAGACCTTCGTCTGAGGAACAGCTGGTAAAAATATTTTCCTACAGTGTAGGTTGTGTCTTAGCTCTGTTGGTGGTTTCTCTTGCAGTGCAAAAGTTTTTAAATAAGATGAGATCCCAGGTGTTGAAAAATGCAGTGTTTTTAGTACCATTTTAAGTAATATACAGAATGGGCTAAGTAGAACACTGCCTGACTTTTGGAATATAGATCACAAAGCTAGTATAAAACCTATGAGACTATGAACACACATCTGCGCCCTCCTGATGTAACAGAGCATGCTCGCAAATGTCTGCATCACACAGGTGGTCCTCTTGAGCTCTCAGACCCTGCCACTGTCTTCCCTGTTGGTACTGAAACACACATGCCACCTGGAAATAGTCACTGCTGCCCTCCGACATTTGATCCTCAACCTTGTGTATAGGTACATCCTATTCTCTTTCATATAATGTAAAATTTCTATACCTCATACGTGTATAAGTCTTGGTTACTTTTCTCACTGCCGGGACAAAGTACCTGACCCCCATGAGTTAAAGGAGGAAAGGTTTATTTCAGCTCATAGTTCATAGAGGTTTCAGTCTACAGTCAGCTGGCTCCAAGGCAGGGTGTCCCAGAATGATCCCTGAAAGGTAACTGGGCTTTGGTAGCTGCCTGTTTGAGCAAACCAATGGCCTCCCATGTTCTGAGAAAGCCTGCAGCCCTAACCTTGTTTCAGCACTCAGCCGCTCTCACTGATTGCCCCTCAATGTCCAAGATCTATGAGGGAAAGCAGTGGTCTTTGGCACTGTCCTCAATCTACCTGCCGGTCACCAGGAGCCTCTGTTTCTTGAACATTTCCTAAGCCACCACCTTCAGGGCTTTGCTCTAGCTGTTTCTTCTATCTGCAAAGATTTCCCTGTGGATTTCTGTATGGCTGGATCCTTTGTATGTACTCACTTTGCACTTAAAGGTCCTTTTCTCAGAGGAGCTTTTCTGTTAGACCATTCTAAAATACTAGTCTTTCTCTTCCCATTTACCACCCTCTATTACCTACCAGCCTCTTGGCCAGGTATTAATAGTACATACTCATACTTGAAATCACTACATTCTTTATTTCCCCTCTCTTTTTCCATCCTCAAAGCCCTCCTTCAAGAGTCTGATTTCTAGGGAGTGGGATTCTGCCAGTTCTAGTATTTTGAGTCTCTCTATAACAATGACTGGTCTGTAGCAGGCTGTCAGCAATACTTGTTAAATAATTAACTGAGTAAATAAAACTTGCAGTCTGAGCTCAGACTGCATCTGCCAGACTCCTCTGTTGCAGTTGATAAAAGAGGAAGTTAAAAATTTGTGAGTTCAGAAGTTCTGTCCTTGTTTGTCCTGGTCCATGAAATCTAAACTGTTTACTACTTAACTACAGTCACTTCATGCATTAAATGAAATGAAGGTAATTCCATGTCTTCTGTTCATTGTGGCTTAGTTTTGTTCGGGCGATCTCTCCTATAACTGCTGAGTAAAGACACAGTGGAGTGGGTGGGTAAGGGTTGTCCTGCCTCAATTTCTGTTGGCCTCAGCATCCCAGCTCTTCACAGGCTTAACAGTTCAGGGTGTTGTTTATTCAGTGCTGACTATGTTTGAAGCTAGGAAAGAGTGATGACAAGGTAGACATCTTCCCCCTGACTCATGCAGAAAGGGCCTTGGACTGTCCAGTCAGCAACCACGAGTGGGGTGTGCAAGCTGTGTGACAGGCAGCATTCTGGATGTCACAGAGGCAGCTGCAGGGACTCTGTGGCTCAAGGAGGAGGGTCCGGAGAAGTAGTCCAGGTTTGGTGTCCTCTGGATGTTTAGATACAGAGCAAGATTGTGAAGACTTCAGTGGGGAAAGAACCAGAGGCCAGTGGGTTGCAGCGGTTCCTGCAGACTTTCCACAGAGGGTAAAGAGAGGCCACAGCAGGATTTCAGGGGAAGAAGTGAGATGATCAGGTGTCAGTTTTCCTATCAGTTTCCAAATATTTACTCCAGGCACCACCTAGAGATGAGATCAGAAGGAGCCAGAATGATCATGGCAAGAAGCACGATGGGACTGGAGTCAGGCAGCAGCAGGCAGAGCACAGTGGGTCCCAGACCCCACTACAGAGCGCTCTACACTTGGAGCCTTCGTTAGTTTTGTAAGGTCAGAATGAACTCAGGCTGGGCGACTCCTAAGTTATGGAATTCAAACTGCTTCTATCCAAAGGCGCTTTCATGTTATTGGTGATTTTCCTTGGATGTGTGCGTGATGTGTGTGCAAACTGTGACACCACTGGTTAACTAGACTAAGCTATCTGGGTGGTGTCTTGGTGAATGCTCCTTTATCCCTGCTTCAAACTTAGGGTAAACAATGAATATGTAGAAATGCACACGTAGCATGAAAGTTCAGAGAGAGTAGTTGAGTATGAGGAAAGTAAATGCAGATTAATAGAGCAATACAATATTAAAAGTTGGTGTTGAATTAGGAAGAATGTGCTTGTCTAATTTATGTAAATAAATCTTTGCAGATGACTGCAATATCCTGAAAAATGCTGGAGCATTGGCAGAAGTGAGGGTATTAGCAAGGAGTCTCCTTATGAGGTATAGCACATGCTTGCATCGTAGTCTTAGTAACTCAGGCTGCTCATGCCAGGTCTGTCCAAGGCTTGCTAGTCAGGGCACGGGGAGAGAGGACAGACAAAGGAAGCACTGGCTCGTAGACTCCTTGTGGTTTATGGGTATGGATTCCTGCTGGCCCTGGACAACGAGTAATGCTCTGTAAATGTTTACCTCTCTTACAGTGATCTCCAGACACAGCCAAAAGAAGTACCTGGTGTGTGACGGTGGACATATCAAGCCTGTGAAAGCAATTGTGGAAATAAATGACTCATCATTACAGTCCTTGACATGTTCAAATGAGTATCTTTATCATTGCAGTAAAAGAAAAACGGGTACATCAGCTACATAAAATTGATGCTTAGCATTTTTGTTGGCAACTTAAGAGGGGTAACATAAAATAATTTCTAATTTAAATCTTGTCTGGCCAAATTATAGTACCCCTCCCCAGAGACAGCTGTGTGGTCTGAATGCAGTCTAGCAATGGATTGTTAGAGGCTGGATGGAGAGAGCTGTGTGTATCTGTTTGTACAAATGAAAGATGAATGAGGTGGGGCTTTTCAGTACCTAGGACTTTATTTCTCCTGTGTGCCCATCAGCGATGACTCATAGTAGTCTCACAGTCTAATCACTACTGTGATACATCCGTGAACACAAGCTCTGGTGCTGGTGTGTCAGTAGCCTCTGTGTGTGTGTGTGTGTGTGTGCGTGTGTGTGTGAAAGGGGGCTGTAGAATGCCACCTCCCAAGCTTCAGCACGGACGTTAGGTAAAGAGTGATGACCCTTTAAAGAACACAGCCAGCCAGAATTTGGGAGTTCCAGGAGGGACCTTCGGGAGTAACTCTGAAACAGAGTCTGAGTCCATTTTATTGAACTGGGTCTTTCATGGATGAAGATGGAAGTGATGGGGATGGGCTTACGTGTGTGATGCAAAGGGGAAGACTTGGGATTCGAGGAGTGAGAATGGTTGATATGTGGCCACAGTGACCAGTGGTGTTACCCAGCAGGTGGGTGGGTATGTTGCATCTTACCAGGGTAGGCGTTGTTCCCAGGCTTAGACTGGGGACTGCAGGATGCAGGAATGGGCTGTGATTGTTCTCGGAGCTCAAGGACCTTAGGCTCTCTGCAGTCTCTTCCTGAGGGGGGCCAGATGGGGGTCAGATGTATCAAAAACAAAATACAATGTCATACACCATAGTTTATGCTTGCTTTGAATAAGATTCAGTGTTCTTGATTGACATACGGTTTCCCTTTAAATAGTAATTCAGAATCACAGGCCTTCTACATTTGGTGACTCTGTAGGCTTAAACATTCCATGCAAAACTTGTATTTTTTTCAAAAAGAAGCCAGCTTAGAATCTTCTATGGATCCCATAAGAATCTTTGTCTTTGACTTCAAACACTCATTTCCTAAACTGTGTACCCCACTGGGTGCTTTCTTTTTCAGCTGGAGTAACCAGGGACAGTCCTTCTGGAGCTTGGCAAGGTTGTCCAATAGGTTGTAGAAGCTGTGCACTGGTGTGAGCAACATCTCTGCCCGCTGGAGGGGTTACTGCTTCCACAGCAGCAGTCCAGGGTGGTCCTGGAGAGCAAGAGACAGAGAACTCAAGTTCTAGGAACTGGAATGATTACCAGTGTCACTATACTATCAATGTCATCACAGTGACGGTATTAATAGCTACAATGTACTTACAGGGTTTTTAAACGCTCATAGATTTTGGAGCCTCTCTCGTGGGGGCATTCACTTTCAACTTCTAGGCTTTGTGTACAATATTAGGACTGAGCATTTTAGTACATAGCCTGTTGTGTAGTAGTGTCCTCCAAATAAAGCAGAAATCGTTGCTAATATTAAGAGAAAAAGTACAAAGGAGTTTATGACTTATAATTGGTAAAATGCTATCCAGAAGATGATATTTGAATCACCCAACTCTGCCAACAGTTCCCACGCTTTTTGTCAGATGTTCTTGGAGTGAATAGCATAGAGATTTTTTTTTGAATCTCTTAAGAGGAGTGTTTGTTTTTCAGATGGGTGGTTGTAGATGGCTGAAAATTAATAGAAAGGAAAAGAGTTGATGTGTATGTGAGTGTGTGTGTGTGTGTGTGTGTGGGTGTGTGTAGTGAGAATGGTGTGGGTACCTCTTCACAGTCATTACAAAACTGTGTTTCTCGTTTGGCCATATGTATTTTATAATTAAAACTCCCTCAGTATTTCTATGGACACTAGTGTCAACTGGATTGTTTTAGGTCTGGGATAAATGTTTTCATTTGAAAAACTACCACTATCTTAGAAGGCAAGCTTTCAGTGGTACCTATAGTCATTCTAGAATTGCTCTTGCTGCACCAAATGTGTTCCTTATGGTGAGAAAATAAGATGACCAGCTCAAGTGTGTGCTTATGCAAAGATGTAGACACACAGACCCATCATTTTTCCAGATCTTCAAGTGCTGGGGAAATTATATATAAGGCAAGGTTTTGTTTACACTAAAATGAACAGAAAAAGAGTTGCTTTAAGGTCTTCTGAGATTCCTTTTCAATTTGATTTACTTTTTTAAAAACAAAAATATTTGTCAGTGAGGAATTTAAAGTAAAAATAGTGATCTAGGCAGTGTTATCTTGCAATGCATACAAAATTAGATGATGCAACTGGTACAAAGGAGTTAAGGAAGTTTTGTACAGATTTAATACTAATTTGCTGGATGTCAAAATTGCAGTTACTGAATATTACCATAAACATTTTAAAGACTTTTTAAAGCAAACAGAAAATGACTGTTGTAAAGAACCCATAAAAAAATGAAAAATCAACTTCATTAACATTATACAGCCCTATGTGACATATAGATAAATCAGTATCTCAAACAATTTAGAAAGAATGGGAATTTAGATGAAGCAAAAAGTGTTTTCAAAGTGTCAAAGTTACAGATGTTGGAGAAGCACATAAAGTTTGAAAATATTTGCTGTTTTGCCTTGTCGGTGTTTCTTCATGGTGAGTCTGAAAACTTTCTTTTACTGAGAAGGTGACTCTGAAACTCTCTTTCAGTATCCCTTTTCTTTTGTAGCACAGACAGCTGCCCTGGGTTATTTGGGGAGTCTTGGGGTCCTGACAGCGGATCCCGTGGACTCGGGAAGGGTGTTCACTGGCGTCCCTCCCCCTTCTCCAGCCGGAGCCCTCCTGTGACGGCAGGAGGGTACAGGAAGAGCCAGGCAACCTCCACCCTCCGAGGAGAAGCAAGAGCATCTTACAGGACTCCGCAGAGAATGAGAGAATCCGGGAGAGTCGAAGATAAAGTATATTTAGCGTCCTTATCAGGAGACCAACAAAACAGGTAATGCACTTTTTTGAGGAAGAGCTAAAATGTCCCATTTGTTAAGTATTTTTGAAGATCCTCGTGTCCGACCATGCTCTCATGAATTTTTATAGAAGTTGTTTGGCAAACGTTCTTTAGGCATCTGGTAACCTTTATATATGGAGACCTTTAAGAACTCCACCCAAGTACCCTCACTGAAGAAATATTACTGAAATTACTCCAACTGGGATTGAACCTTTATCTGCTAATTTTGCATTGAGGGCTGTTATTGAAAAATATCAGCAAGACAACATACGGATGTGGTTTTCTGTCCTGAACATTAGAGACAACCACTAAATGTTTATTGTCTACTAGATAAAAAGTTAGCTTGTGGTCATTGTCTTACTGTGGGTCAACATCATGGTCATCCTATAGACAATCTTCAGAGTGCCTATCTGAAAGAAAAGGACACACCTCAGAGACTGCTGAAACAGTTAACTGACACACGTTGGACAGATATTACTCATCTTATTGAAAAGCCAGAAGAACAAAAGTCTCATTCTCAGACAATGATCCAGGGTGATAAAGAAGTTGCTCTCTAGTATTTTGAGGAGCTTATTAATATATTAGAAGAGAAAAACATTTTGTAACAGCTCTCTGTGATGTTGGCAATCTGATTAATGAAGAATATACCCACAAATTGAGAGAATGAAAGAAAAGAGCAGCAGCTTGAATTAATGATACTGACAACATCTTTACAAGAAATATCTCCACTTAAACTTCTTGAAAAAAAATTGATAACATCTGCCAGTTTGTGCAGATCTTGAAACAAAGACCACTTCTAGAGGTCAAACCTATTGTAATTTATCCTAGAGTAAGCCAGGTATTAAAAGAATGGAGCAGAACAGAAATTGGACACATTAAGGAAGCTCCCATTCCTGAAATAAAAATTTCTGCAGTAAGAATGCCATCCTCCTGGCCTAATAAGGATAAAAATGAAGTTTATTTTTTTAAATTTTAATCATTTTGGTGTTACTGATGTTGACGCTTTTTTCTACCAGCACATAACTTTCTTAAATGAAGTATATTCAGCATGTTTTTCTAAAGTCTCTTTGTCTGTTTACCAGTGTTTGTCTACAATTTAATGATTTAAAAATCATACTATGTCACACTTCCTACTTGTTAAAGGAATTCATGTGGAAAATAGTTTCCCCTTGAAAATATGAATCTGGATTGTTAAATGGGCTTTTTCTATACAGCAGAGGCTAACTGCTGTTAACTGGAGAAACAGGAGGTAGCATAACAGTTAGTCAACTAAACTTTGGTAGAGTTCCAACAAATTCAGAAATCATGTTAAACCTTTCATGCTTCTGTTGGAGATAGTGCATCAGTCAAAATTAGGATATTAAAGATGATTCAAATTAAGTCATAACTGTGATGAAATCTAGCAAGTGCTGGAGTATCAATCTATTGTCCCATTTGTATTGGCTTGATGGAGGTTGACTTAATGCTGCTCTGACATTTAAACATTGTACTGCTATTGTCTTTTACCATTATATACATCAATGTTTGAATATTCACGCACACACACATACACACACACACACACACATATATATAGTGTTTTACATTAAAAGATGGAAAAATAAAAAAGTTTAAAAACATTTGTAAGAGTAAGAAATTATTTAAAATATTTTTTGAAGTCCATGTAACCATGGAGTGCACACATAAATATAAATATAAGTAGCCATTTGATCACTTGGTTAATATTCATAATAGTTTTCAGGCCACCTGATAAATTAATAAATGCATTGAAGGCGAATCCTGAAGTGCACATGCTCCAGAGCCAGCCCTCCACAGCAGGACGCCCTCCCTGCCACCTTTTTGTTGTACGATCCTGTTTCAAATCACCTCAATTTTCTTGCCTCTTATGTAAAATAGGCTTCATATCTTCTTCATACTATTATTGTAAGAATTGAATAAGCCAATGTACATGTGCATATTCTCAGAAAAGGGGCTACTGCACGGTTCCTGCTGGACAGGTGATCGTACGTCTTATCTGTGGTGAAATGGGGCTTAGAACACACTTGGGAACATATGGTCCTCAAATCAGATCACCAGTGTCTCATCTTAGCAAAGGACTCCACATCTCCATTTCGAAGTGAACTTCTACTCAGTGCTTTCTTTCAACGTTCAGTAGAACTCTGTCAGAATTTCTAATCAATTTTATTCCACCTCCCTTAAAACTTTAGTTAAGAAGATTCATTTTCAGAACATTTCTCTTACAAAAGTATTTTCCTTGGCACTTCTGTCACCTTATTTTAATTCAGCAATGTATTTCCTTTTTAGAAGATAAATGAGAAAATGATTTAATTACTTTCTCTAAAACTGACTGAAAGAAAGAACACCTAACTCTCCTGTTTAAATTTGGGGAACAACTTTGCTGCTATTAAAACGGAATAAGCCAGGCATTTTGGCACATGCCTGTAATCCCAGCACTTGGGAGGCTGAGGCAGGAGGATTGCGGTGAGTTCGAGACCAGCCTGGGCTATCTAGTGAATTCCAGGTCAGTCTCAACTACATAGTGAGACCCTGTCTCAAACCCCCCCCAAAAAAAAACCACCCAAAAAACAAAAAGGAATAAAATAAGGACTTTTTTTTTTTTTGAGATAAATTATTTAAGGTCCACATATTTCAAAACACCTATGGTTGGGGATCTAGCTCAGTGGCACCATGCCTGCCTTGCAAGTTTGAGGTCCTGAGTTCAATCCCCAGTATCAAAAAACCACTTATGGTCAGTGTTATTGAAATGAGATATTTATGTGGTCCAGAAAAAACATGTTCTCTCACGGCTTGCAAATCTGTGTCTTATTTTTAAGGTATATACTCAGTAAGGCTCTTGAGAAGGAAACAAATTTTAGTTCACCATATACAGAAGTTTGTACTGGAATTTTTTTTTTTTCTAGAGAAATTCTGCAAGTTATAGGAATACAGTTGCTGGAGTAGATAACTATACACATTTTTATAGTTTTAGCCCTAAGAATCTCTGTTGTCTTATCACCGTCATTGACAATGATGTTTGTTAGTTAGTCTTTCTGCACTTGGAAATGTTTGCTAAACTCTAGGACTCGGGCATTTTTCATAATCCTTCTGTGAGCCTGAAAACAAAAGATAGGAATACCTTTAAATATTTGTTGATAATTTAATCTTTCTCACAGCAGGTGTTTCAAGTTTTGCCAAGTCTTTAGAAACCTACAGGAGTTATGGCAGTATATATTTGTATATTTGGTATTTGCCAAAGAGTGTATGTGGACCAGTGATTTCAGACAAGGAAACCTACTAAAGATTTGGTTTCTTTGGTATTTACACGTGTGCCTTATTTATTTCGCTTAAGACTATATCCTCAATATGCATCCATTTTCCTATGAATGACTTCAATTTTTCATTCTTTATGGCTGAGTAGTTAGTATTCCCTTTTATAGAAAAATCACATCTGCTTTATCCAGTCTCCAACTGATTTGACAATGTGAAATAGGAAGAAAAGGGCTAAAGGTGTAGGGGAAGTGGGAAGGGTAGGGGAAAGGAAATAAGGGAAAAGAAAAAAATATGAGAAAATGAAAAAATGGAAATAAAATATTTGTAAATAGGAAAGGGAGGGGGTGAAGGGAGGGCAGGGTATGGGGGAACAATTAGAAGCAAGACCTGCCATGTAAAGGTACAAGATCCCAGTGATGAATGTAACTGTACTGTATCCCTAAAATGTACCAATAAATTCAATGAGGAAAAAAAAAAAAGATTTGGTTTCTTGGGAGCCTTTGTGCAGCCTCGTTCTGTGTTCTGGTTCCCTCTCTGTGGGAATCTCACGGCCTCAGGATGTTCTGAGCCTCTCTGATGCCCTCTGAAGGTGCTCTGAGTGCAAGGGCCCTTTCACACAGTGGAGGTGGACTGCTCACCATCTCAGTGGGTCTCTCAAAGGCTTCAGTTTAATCAGATGAGCTAATATTCTCACGGGGACATAAAATTGGTTATACTTTAAATCTCTATATGGAGAAAGTGAGGCTTGGCCAGGCAAAGCAGAAAAATGGGAACAGACAAGGGCCCTTCTCTGGCTTGAAGGAAGAGAAAGTTTTCCTAAAATATTACTGTCATGAGGGAAATTTCTGCTCTGGATCGATTTCTAAGGTCCCTTCTGAGGCCCTACCATTATACTAACATAAGCAAGATGATTTTGTAAATTGTGTATGGATAAGACACCCTATTTACAGTTTCTTAAGGGCACTGTCTCCTTCCATCTTAACTAACCTTTTGTCCTACATCTCTGTGAGGGTCCCTGTATTGCCCCCTGGCTTGCCAGTGTGGTCTCTACTCCCACAAATGCATCTCACTTTACTCACCCGGTGACTCTGAAGGTGGGGCCAGAGGTTTAGTTGCTGTACAAACGATCTTCAACGCCCAGCAAGAGAACTATGTGGGTAGCAGAACAGATGAAGCTTGAAAGGCATGGAGTCTGTCGACTCTGAAGCCAGCAGCCTCCAACTGTTAGGCATGTAAGATTGGCTAACTGTGCAAATTTCAGAGGCTCGTAGACAGAGGTTTCAATTCTTACCATCAACTAGTCAAGATGGAAGCTTCTCCCCAGCAAGGATATACTGGACAATGAAGAGTGTATATCCATAGTAAAAGACAAAGTGAAACTATTTTTTCTATATTTCTATAAGAGATCAGTAGGTACTCTTCCATGAAGAAGTTGTGATAAATTTCATACTGTCTCTGATACAGCAATCCAGCAGTGGAATGATAAATCTCAAATAGGATAAGGGGAGATAAATTTCACATTGAGTTCAGTTAAGAGTAATATTCCCTATGAACATATTGGAGAAAAGATTTAAAGTTCTATATCTATGTGAAATAAGAAGAAAAGGTGCAAAGGGAAGGGAACGGGGGAGGGGAAAAGAAAGAAGGGAAGGGAATTAATAGGAGAAAAAGAAAAAATGGAAACAAAGTCTTTGTAGATAGGAAAGGGTAGAGGCTTTGAAGGGAGGGCAGGGGAATGGGGAAACACTAAGAACCAAGATGGATTGTGTAAAGGTGCACATTTCCAGTGATGAATGTCATCATGTTGTGTATCTGAAATGCACCAATAAAATTAATTAGAAAAAAATATTTAAATTTCCTGCTGATTTGACAAAAATACTAACACCAAAAAAGTACTGTAAAATTCATTGATAAACCACTGTAATTAATCATCAATGAAAAAGTGGATGGATGTTGTCATAAAATATTTGATTGATTTGCACAAGAAAGGAAATGCCCTAAAAATCTTACAGCTCATTCATGAGACAAAAAACTTAGATACAAATTTCCCAATGATTCTAAAGATTTCTATGACATAAAAGTATGATAAAACTGACGCGTTTCTTCCTCCAAACTATGTATGACAAAGAATACATTTCAACCTACTGTTCTGAAGAGAAAACTAAAATATTTTAATATCTTTTCAAGAAATTGTATTTAAAAATTATTTGCATTTATAAATATGACTAGAATATACAGCCTAGAAATATAAGAAGATATATACAGTGGAATGTTAGACAGTTGAGAAAAAATATACTGTTTCAACAGATTCTGTGATGATAGTGGACATTTGTCAACTTTGTAAAATTTATACCTTATTTCCTCTCATACTTTGTTTCCTATTTGTTTTACTTTGTAGAATTTTTCTTGACAAAGCTTCTAAGATGTATACTAACATTAGAACTCACATAACCTGGACCTGTTCCACTTCTGCATAGTAGGGAGTCAACCTCTGGCTGTTTAATGTAACAAAGTTACAAAACTTTGTAAGAGTCTGCAGTTCTTTGTCTCAGAAGTCAGAAAAATATTGAATCATAGCTGGTCAGATACCCTTCAGGGTTATAGGGCCATAAAAGAAAGGCCAAACTGGGCACCAGAAAGAGGAATTACATTTTAAGTTGTGTAGCAGTATAGATGTGCAGAATACAAAGTACTATTAGTGAAATATTTTTAATAACATATGACCAATCTCAGTCTTATTGAACATCATATTGTCCATTGATTTACTGTTTACTGATGATTTAGGGCTGTTATTGTGAATAGATGAAGTGCATAGACTGACTCTCCCTTCCGTATTTATTAATCTGCAGACATGTGAAAGAAAAACAAAACATCCAATTTGTTTCAGTCACTAGCTTTTTGCTTGTTTTGGTTTTGAGTTTCTGATGCATCACGAAAAAGTGTCTAAGTGACGCTGAATATGGGAAACATAGGAATTCTGTCATAATATTATTCAAATCTTGTTCCATGTTTTATGCTGGACCAAATTATACATACTATTTCTTCCAAGGGGATATTTACAAGACATAGTCTGCTTTACAGTTTCAGCCAGGAACAGCTTTGTAAACCTGATGCTCCACAGGATATACTGGCTTTCTTGATCCCAGAATCTGTCCCTGATACTCAAAACCCATTTGTCTCAAACGAACCACATGGTTCCCGTGTCATGCTCCCCAGAAGATACAGACTCTCTCCTTGGTCCACACCCTGGGCAGACTTAGGCTTGCCTGGGTTTTAGGACACATGCATACGCCCCAGCTGTAGAAGATTGGGAGGTGTTTTTTATTTGCAGCTCCTACAATACAGAAAGGGTAAGCACCAAAGAAGTTCCAATGAGTACAGAGTAGGCCAGCTTACAGAACCTGCAACAGATTTCTGCTTCCTTGCAGGTTCACTGTGGGGCTTTGGGTGAGATACTTAAACTCTCTAATCCATTTTCCTAATCCCTAATAGGAGGATTTTGAACCAAATAAATTCCAAGAGTCCTTACAGTAATACAATTCTGTGCCTGTACTAGCTAGAATTCTGGCTTCTAGTGGTGGAATCCTTATGTCAACTTGTGAGAGCAAGTCAGTAGAATTTAATCTGCTTAATCTAACTGTGGGAAGAGCAGAGGTGAATGAACTTTGGGGGCCTTTGGCTCATAGGGCCTCTCACTTTCTCTTTCTGCTTTCTCTATGCATTGACATTAGAAACCAGCTTCTCCTTGAATCCAAGGAGGGCTTCTCTCTCCCAGAATCTGTTTCTAAGACCCAGAAGAACTCTGATTAGCCAGTGTTTTTGCCCTAAGTTCAGAGGTCTCTACCCAGAGAAGGAAAATCACATATGCTGTCATAAGAGTATATTTTGGGGTCAGGCACCCTAGTCATTGACTAGTATATTTCTAAAATCTAGTGTGCCACAATATGTGATTGTGGGGCCTATTTGTGTTTTCAGACTTTTATTATAATGTGGGAAGATTGATGGGTGATGTAGACACCCTGATGACCTCCACCCAAATTTAATTCTGGAAATAAAAGTAAAGATAGGAGTATGGAATGGTTTAGGGAAATACCTGAATCCTAAAGCAGAGGAATATGGACCTTAAAGAGATGGGTTTGTTTACAAGTGTTTGCCAGGAATTTTGCTGTAAATCATATTCCAAAGCCAAGTCGTAATCAGTTTGAAGGATCATTAGTAAAGTAAACAACTAATCTATTTTCTTGAATTTTTCTTGCATACACATATACTTTTTTTGGATGTTGACTGTGCTAAAATTTAGAAAATATTTTCCTTTGAAAAGTTACATTGTGTTGAAATAAACAGTGGATTCTTGAGAATTTGATCACTTCCTGAGGGTTGGTTGTAACTCAAATTGGCTGTTAGTTAATACAGCTGAGATCTGGATGTTTACCTGGGCATACGCTATAGATAACAAGAGGCAGATGCCTCTTCTCTTAACCTAATGAACCCAAGTTATTCATATGTCAGGCCATTCATAACTTGAGTGCCCACTGTCTTGTTTTTGGCAATATATATGATAGTAGGTCCTTTGTTCTCATGGTTTATGAACATAGCTTGTATAACAAGAAAAATATCTACTATTTTCTTCTGGAATTCTAGAAATAGGTAACTCACCATAAACTTTATCCATGTAAAAAACATTCTGCATATTGATCATGCTTTATTAGCAATTATTGGAAAATGTGCAAAAGTTTCATCCAGTAAGTATTTTGGCATTTTGTTAATTTCTTGGTCTCATAATCTGAAGCACATGCATATTAAGTAGAAAAACTGATTGCAATAAATCCTGGCAATCTGGATGTTTCGATAATGTCACATTGTTATATCTGAAGTTGCCTGCAATACTGTTATGTAAGGCTTTTATTTTTCAAACTGTTTTAAGACTTGTTAGCCCCTGCTTTTTTATGATTATTAATAATCATATGTTTTAGTTAGACTTTAAATGTCTGTAATACATTTTGTACCCTATTCTTCTTGAGCAATGCATCTGTATCTATTCAGCTATTCTTTCTGTGAATTTCTGTGGCACTAGCCAACAATTTCTACACTTCACAGCCAATAGAGGATTGCTCTTGTCTTTTAAAAGTAGAATGAATTCATTCTAATAAATGGACTATAACCATTTTAATGAGTCATTGGCACTTTAATTACTATTCATTCAAGTATTGAAGTTCTTTTTCCCTGGTTTTGTGGTGTAAGTTTGCCTGAATCTCAGAGGAGACTTTGGATTTGTACTTTTCAGCAATGGTGGAACTGTTAATGCTTTGACAACTCTTAGTAAAAGACTGAGTGCATTTTACATAAAGAAAAGAATATGAGTCTTTAGTGGTTCAAGGACAGAGTGTAATGGCTTAGACCTAAAATATTCCCTACAAGCCTTGTGTGTCTAATATGATTGGATCCTGGAGGTACTGTACTTATCAGTGGGTTTGTCTACTGATAAGTTCAGAAATTGATTGTGCTGTCAGGAGGTAGAGCCCAGTTGGAGATGGGTCACTGTGGATGTGATAAGGAAAGGTGCCCCCAACTCCCTTTCTCTCTGCTTCCCAGCTGCCATGGGTTGAGCCCTGTTTTTCTCTGCTGTGTCCCTGTGCCAGTAGAGTTTTCCAGATCCTGGTATGTGATAATAATCATGTAACGATTCATAGAATGTACATTTTTGCACTTTTGTATTTAAAAATATTTCTATTTGTATTTGCAATATAATGTTAATGGAATAATTTATATAAAGTATCTTGAGATTCTCAATAATTTTGAAGGGTTCATGACACAGAATTTCTGACAACTACTAATCTGGAAAACATAGCAGTTTCCTATAGGGCTTATTCAGTTGAGATTCGTTTAAATGCATATAAGGAAGTGAGGATAATTTATTAAGTTACAAACTTGTATTGAATGTGTGCTTGTTTTATAGGTATACATATAGGTAGTTTTTTAAAAATAGGAATTTTAAAGTTCTTCTTATGGATATCTACTTACCATGAATCACTGAAAATACTTATTTTTGTTTGCATTACAGAATATAATTTGATGTCCAAAGAGTGCTTTTGTAATAAGCTATTTGTATTACTTGTGTGTATTTATGTGTGTTCAGTAAATTGTTAGAATAAGTGTGTATAACAAACAAACATACATGAATCTCCCAGAAAGATACACACTACCACTCATTTTTATTTTGAGAATGCATGTAGGGCTTTTATCAGGGTTCGTGTTTATGATGATAATTTCTGTGATCAGCTCTTCTAGGTTTCCCATTTCCCCCTGGCCAGATTCGGTGCACAGCACAACATCAAGCAGTGACTCACACGATAGCGAAGAGAATTATGCTCCCATGAACCCCAACATGTCCAGTGAAGATCCCGTATGTAAAGATTTCATCCTAATCTCTCCCTTCCTTTAAAGTCCTTTCAAAGTATTTTTTTTCTATCCTCTATATTTTATCCTCCTAGTTTTCTCCCTAAACTCAAGGAAAAACAATGAGAGACAATGTTTTAACAATACTTTTTGCATTTCAAAAAGGAGTATCACAAAGTCTAACACCAGTAAATGGCCAATGTGTAATATAAGTAGAAATTTGTTGAAAATGTAAGTTTTTGTGTTTGTCAGCTCTCCCATGGTTATACTAAAGCCTGAGATAACTTGTAACTGGGAAGAATTTCTTTGCGCTCACTTGGAGGTTCCAATCCATGAGTGGTTGGCCCTATCATTCTGGGCCTGTGGCAGGAGCAAGTGGTAGGCTACAGCCACTACTCTCCTCATGGCTAGGAAGCAGCAGAAAGTGAGGAAGGGGACCAGTGTCCCACAGTCCTCTTCTAGGAGACGCCACCAATGACCCAAAGGCCTCCCATCTGAAGATGCTGTTGCTTCCCAACAGTGCCCCCCCTCAGGACCAAGATTTTAATGCGTGGGCTTTGGGGGAATGTTTAGATCCAAAGCACAGCAGTTTTCCATCTCTCTTTTTTTGAAGGTGTACTTGATTTTTGATACTCTTTAAGAAAATATACTGGAAGAATTTTACAGTGTACTTTCTGGGCTATTTTCTTATGTAGAAGGTCTTTGATAATCTTTCAGTAATATGCCCTTAGGTTTAAAAGAGGAAATGTTATAAACAATTTGTTTCAGGTTAGTTATATTACCACGAGGCATGAGACCTCTCTGACGGTAACAAGCATTTTATTCCCCAGGAATCAGGAGTTTGGCAGAAAATACTTCAGATATTCAAGAACACGAACTAATCTTAATTTTTAAAACTTTTGCTTTTGCTTTTCTTTAAATCAGATTGAATGTTTGGTCAGTGCTTGTTTAATGCTTGATAAGAGTATCAGTTAAGATTAAGTTTGCTTCTGAAGAACAAAATAAGTAACCATGACTTACAAAAAGAATTTACTTGCATTTCTTTCACATGCAAAAGTCTATGAAGTCAATCCAGGCCTGTAACCCCAGCAGTCTGCAAGGCTGGGGCAGGAAGGAAATAAGAATGTGATCATTACAGCAATGTTTACCAAATCTCTTTAAGGTATTGATGAAATACCTGTAATTTCACAGGATCTCATGTGTGGATGCATAGGTGAAATAAGAGAAGACATAGTCCTAGAGAAGTAGAGTCAGGATCAGACCAAATGAAGACTAAATTCTCTAAATTGAAGTTTTGAGGCTCAGTGCATTTCCTAGACCAGTGATCATGAGGTCGGCAGTATACTGTGAAACATTCTGTCTTACCATAGTTACTTTCTCGTTGCTGGGACAAAATTCTTGATGCCCACAAGTCAAAGGAAGACAGGTTTTTCTTGGCTCACAGTTTTGTGTAGGATTCAGTCCATAGTCAGCTGGCTTCAAGGCAGGGTGACGTAGCAGGGGTACATTGCAGAGGAGAAAGAGCTTAGGGCCTGGTGGAGAGAGGAAGACAGATGAAGGGAGGAAGGAGGAAGATGCAGTTTTCCAGGCCATGCCCCCCGACAGAGCAGAAACAGCCCATGGCAGATCAGGCAGGGCGTAAGAAGTGGTGAAGCAGCAGGAGCAAGCCTCCCTTTCCCTTTTATCCCATCTATCTGAGTAAAAACCTTTGTGTGGTGCTACCCACACCCAGGGTCAGCCTTGCCATTATCTACATCAGAACTAAGCTAAACCAATCAGTGGTCTAATTGAATAATCACACCCTTAATCCACATGCACATAACCTTTATCCATATTCATACACCCTACAGTCACCTCTGAAGAGGCCCATCTGTGAGCTCATGAGGCTTTGGAGGGACCTCTAGATACAAGCTGTAACACCAGGCAAGCACTCTAACATTGAGCTACATCATCCAACCCTTCTTAAACACATTTATGGACATATACTATTTAACTGCTGCGTTACAGCCCTAAAATAAATGAGTTTCTTTGGGTCCAGGGTCCGGGAACATCTTAGTTGTGTTCTCTGCTTCAGGGGGGTTCTTACCAGCTGCAGTGAAGGTGCTGGCTAAGGCTGGGGTCTGAACTGAAAGCTACATCAGGGGAGGAGTCTCTCCCAAGCTTGCATGGTTGCTGGCAGGATTCATTTCCTTGTGGGCTGTTGGATTGAGGTTCTTGGCTCTTAGCTGGCTACTGGGAGGAGGCCATCCCACCTTGGTTTCTCGCCATATAGGCCTCTCCAGCATGGTACAGGCAAGCCAAGATGACAACAACCTGCTAGCAAGAGAAAAGTCACAATCTTTCATAACTTTATCACAGCCATGATTATCAATCACCTTTGTGTTAGCTTTCCGTCAGTATAAAACAAACACCTGAAATAATCAATTATAAAGAGAAAACTGTATTTGGAGTCATAATTTTGGAGCTTTTTAGTTCATGATTGGTTGCCCTTTTTGGTTTGGGCCTGTGGTGTGGCTGCACATCATAGCAGAAGCATTAAGCAGAGCAAAACTGCTCATTCCATGGCCAGGGAGCAAAAAAGAGGGAGGGGCTGGGATCCCACTATCCCCTTCCAGAGCATGCCTTTAATACCTAAGATTGCTCACTGAGCCACCCCTCTTACAGTCCATGTTTTAATTACTTTTCTTATTGCTGAGCTAAAATACACAACACTTAAAGGGGGAAAGGTTTATTTGGCTCACAGTTTGTAGAGGTTTCAGTCCGTAGTTGCTGGCTCCAAGGCCGGGTGACATGAAGTGGGGCATTGCAGAGGAGAAACAGTCCACGGCAAGCAGGCAGCCAAGAGCACATTCGCCGTTTCCGTCCCTTATATTTTATGCAGGCTAGCCACCCTAGAGTGGATGTAGCACTCACACCCTTAGTCCTAGCCAGAACTATGACAAAACAATCAGTGGAGATTTAGTAATCACACACCCTTGATCCCAGCAACACACACTCTAGATCCAGCACAGGCATCTAGTAAGACACAAGCTGTAATGTAAGAGTCCACCACCTCCCTGTGGTGCCATGCTGGAGACCAAGCCTTTGATACATGCACCTTTGGGGGCCATCCCAGATCCAAATCACAGCAACCACAACATTGTCCTGTTGTATTGTGTGGAACCAAAGGGAAATTATACTAGGCTGAGAACAGCGGGACGAAGAACTTCTGGAGCCATTTGAAAGGCTGACTACATAAGCATAAGCATTTCACCAAGAACATATGCTGTGTCAACTTTTGCTGAACTTTACTAATAGTGAATATTTTAGTGTCTAAATATGAGCAGCTGTAAAAGACTATCTCCCACTTTAGTTCCCTCTTCCCCAGCCTGCATTTCCCCCTGAGGCCACCTGGGTCCTTTGATTCTCTGTTGCTGCCAAATTTCCTGAAGGTGTCAGCTGAATTCCCCAACTGGGACTTTGAGAAGCCGAAGAGACATTAGGCAGTGGTGAGTTCGAGGTGAAGCTCCACTTCCAGAGTTGCTAGTATTTGGGCAGCAGCTCCCCCCAAACCTGAGCACCACCTAAAAGCACTATAACGTAGGAAAACAATCTTTTATAGTCCACCGTGTACTTTCCCCAGGCTGCACATGCTGTAGTAACATCCATGTGTGTACCCAGCTCTAAGCACGCTGGATGGGCCATGCACTGAGGACACTGGTGGAGATAAAGGCAGTGGGGCCAGTTAGGGTTGGTAATGGGCAGAGCTAATGCCTGCACCATGACTCAGTGTCTGTGTCCTGTATGCTGGCTGTGGCTAGATGTGCATGTGTGTGTGTGTGTGTGTGACTGTAGGGCAAAGAGGCAATACACACACAAACACAGAAGGTGAAGACTCTAGAAGTCAAGGTTTTGGGGGCAGAGGGTTTGAGACTAGAAAGAGCCCAAAACGGAGATGAATACTGTGACTGAGAGAAGAGGGAAACAAATAAGCAGCTATTTCACAGGCTTGCTCTCCCACATACTGGGCTTACCTTTTTGTATTAATCTATTTTCCATTGCTATCACAAAATATCTAAAGCTGGGTAATTTGTAAAAAAATGTTTATTTAGTTCCTAATTCTGGACTTCCAAGCAAATGACACCAGCTTCTACTCACCTTTGGAGAGGACCTCATGTGGATGACACCACAATCATGAGTGCATACAGGAAAGGGATCACATGATGACAGAAAGCCAGTGAGAAGGGACCAGTCTTGCCTTTAAAAGAACCTGCTCTCATAAGTCACACATGGGTAAATACCGAACAGTTTCTCTGGTGTGAAAAACTATAACAGATCCTAATGGAATAATTAATAATGTGAAATAGGAAGAAAAGGGCTAAAGGTGTAGGGAAAGTGGGATGGGTAGGGGAAAGGGAATAAGGGAAAAAAATATGAGAAAATGAAAAAAATGGAAATAAAGTGTTTGTAAATGGGGAGGAGAGGAGGGGATGAAGGAAGGGCAGGGACAAGGGGAAAAAATGAGAACCAAGACCTGTCATGTGAAGGTACAGGATCCCAGTAATGAATGTAACTGTACTGTATACCTAAAATGTACCAATAAACTCAAAAAAAAAAAGAAACTGCAGCTCTCTCCAGAGCTCATTTGAGAACAGCATTAATCTTTTCTCATGGCTATAACCTAATTATCTCCCACTGGGCCCCACCTCTTAACCCTGCTAAACTGGGGACCAAGTTTTCAAGACAAGAACCTTTGGGGGACAAAGCACAGCCAAACCAGAGCACTTAACATTTTGGTTAGCTCAGCAGGGATGCCTGATGCTGCCATCTTGGCTGATGCCAAGACTAAGAGTAGATGGGGTTGGAGTGCAGAGTGGTAAGGTGGAGCCCACCACGTCGACTCCAAACTGCACTTAAATTGTCAAGTTAGGTGACCGATGTGGCCTTATCGTTCATGAGATACAGGAGCAGCTGAGTGACATCTCAGGGAGCCCTGTGAAGCAATATTTGCCAGGATAGAAACTCAGTTCACCCAGTCATGACCTCATCCATTTATCTCTGCTTATCAAACCCATCTGAGCCTGCCTAGGTTTGGTGGAGGGAACCGCAAGCTGGTACAGTGCACTGGTCTCCATCCAGGAGAAGGATCTAGCAGATGTGCCATGCCCAACCCATCCTTCAGCCCCACTTGACCCACTCACCTTTCAACGACTCCCACCAGGAACTATCTGCCACCACTGAGTGCCCTTCTCTGGGTGTGGCCTAATCCCTGTACTGAGTTACACTGGCGCCAGGCCTTCATTCTTCAAAACTCTTCCAGGGAGAAGAAAATTTGCAATGAGACTATGACATGAATGGCAAGTTAGGCCTGACTGTCATAGCTGTCCTCACTTTATAACCTGTCTGGGTGTGTGTGTGTGTCTGTCTCCTGTATCCCAGGGGATTTGTTCTGTTCACCACCAGGGGGGATCAATGAAAACAAGTAGGACAAACAAACAGCTCTCCCTGGGTTCTGAGTGACTCCAGGCAGGGTCTACAGCCATCATCTCCCTCTGCTCTCCCCAGCATCTTTTCTGAGCAATTTCCCCCACCTAACTCCTCCCCTCTCCAAGTCCTGATTATGCTTTGTATCCAGGAAGGAATGCTGTGGGCATTTCAGCACAGCCTACTTGGCAATGGTTTGTTCCTTCTTTTGCTTTCAGGCCCAGCTCTTGCCAGGTTTGGGGAATGCTTTCTCTCCCTTGTGCCCTATTACCTGTTTGTTCCTCTTCTCTGGGTGTACCATCTGCAACCACAGGACCCTACTGGTCACGGTCCTTAAGTCCACACCTTAGGCAGCCACCAGCCTCACTAACTTCAGGTTTTGGTCTCTTTCAGCCTCTACCACAGGAAGAAAAGTTGGAATTTGAACATCAGGCACATAGGGTAGTGGTGGTTCTCTGCTGTAGGGAAGGGCTGAGGTACCACACACACCTCTGGTGGTGATGCCTGGCTTGATTCTCACAGCCTGCAGAAATTCAAAAACCAAGATGCGGTGATTCCCGTTTATTTACAGGGCTCATGTTCACGACTTCACACAACCCTACAACCCCATGAGGTAATTTGCATCCTTATTTCACAGTTGAGGAAAACAAAGCCCAGATTCATTAAGGGACTTGCCAAGGTCACTGAAGTCTTAAGTGATAGGTGAAGGCAGAATCTAGGCGACTGAACCCTAAACCCCGTGATCATTCTGACTCTGGGGTGTGGATGCAGGACTAAGAGATTACCCCAATACCACAGGCAGGATGGTGTCTGCATGAGCTGGGACCATCCCAGTGATGAGGCGTTCAGGAGCGACCTGAGTTAAGAGTCCCCCTCCACACTTGCAGTACAGAGTCATGGCGGGTTGTGTAGGGTAAATGTTTGATGCGGAACCAGTGTCTGGGGACAACATTCCCACTGGGTGTATACAGCTTCTCTCCATGGCTGCCCAAGAGGCTGCGCAGGGCCATGTTGCCTGTCAGAACTTTCTCGTAGAACTCCACTCCACCCTGGCCATAGGCTGCAGAGAGTGAGGCCGTGTGGCGGTCCAGCCAGCCTTCCAAGGCATGAGTGAGAGAGTCTGTAGAGAAAGCATAGGCCATGAAGCCTGCCACGGCTGCCACCAAATTAAAGGCAGCTCGTAAGCTCATGGGGCCTCCATAGAGCCCCAGTGCATGCTTGGCACCCACGGTCAGTGCCCAGGTTCCTGCCAGGCAAGCTGGGGCTGGCAGGGCCTGCAGGACAGCGGTGCTGCTCTCCAGGTACACCACCTCTCTGGCCAAGGCAAACTTCTGGGCATCACGGGTCAGCGTCAGGGCCTCTTTTAGCCGAGTGCCTGCTGGGCTCTGCCAGTTGATGTTTTGCCCGTGTATGACCACAGGACGGTTAGTGTTGTTCTTTGGAACACCTAGGAAGTTGGCAGGGATGCCCACCACAGCACCAGCAGGGAGTCTTGGGAAACCAGCACTCACAGGATGGAAGGTGAAGGCGGTGAAAGGCTTGTAGCAGTGGCCTGAGCGAATGCCTATGTCCTGTAGCACCTCTTGGAAGAGGCTCTGCAGCTGTGGGGGGAGTGGGGCCGGCTGGCCCTGAGGCCAGTACTGGTAAAGCCACTGGGCAACAGGATCCGCAAAGAGGTGGTAGGAGATGTGAGCTCCAAACAGGCTTGTGCAGGAACCCACCAAGAGGGCTGTCCTGTGTCTCTGGACAAAGGCTGTGGCCCACCACAGGGGACCAGCCATGAGTGCTGCTACTGCTGGAAACCTGGCCAAGAAAAAGAGAAGTCAGCCGCCAGTTCCCAGGTCTGCCTGCAGACTAAACATCCAACAGCCATATCCTTCTTACTTGAAGCAATACTGCACTGTGGTTAAGAGCATGGGCATTACAGCCAGATCTCCTGAGTTTAAAGCATTATTTCTCCACCTGCCAAGCAAGCATGTAACAATGGACCTTCTCAAGGGAGGTTGTCGTGAGTACATGAATGTACATAAAACAATCAGTGTTTGGAACAGTAGAGACATCCCTTATGGCAATGGCTATAAGTACTATTTTTATTCCCATAGTGAGGCAAAGCACTAAGTACCCAACTGCCTTACCACACCTCCCCATTCATCCTGTACTGAAGCCCTGTGATACTATTTATAAGTGAATCATGTGTTCAATTTATTCAGCATTCACTATATGCTAGATACAGTTCTCAGGGCTTTGCATATGCAGGTGTCTGATGTATCTTTGAGGGTTTGGTTCACCGCCCCCCATATCAAAATCCAAGGATGCTCAGGGGTTTTCTATAAAATGGTGCAATGTTTGCATATAACCTATGCATATTCTGTCATATACTTTATTTATTTTTATTTTAAAATATTTTGGTACTGGGGATCAAACTCAGGTCCTTGTGCTTGTGAGGCAGGCGGCAGAACCACTGAGGTAATTTCCTGGCCCCTCTCATATACTTTAAATCATCTCGATTATTTTCAATATCTAATACAAGATGAACATTATACATAGTTGTTACACTATATTATTTAGGAAGTAGTGACAAGGGGAAGAAGGGCTGGGTGTTCAGTACAGACACAACTGTTCTTTCTAGTATTTTCAATCCTTGGTTGGTTGACTCCATAGATGAGAATCCACAAATATGGAGAGCCAACTGTATTAGGGCAAAAAAACGTGCCTGTAACACTAATAAGCATAGAGATATTTACATATGTATATGTACTCACATATACACACAACATATGCATAATCATCTCATACCTGCAGATTGGTCCCTGGACCTCTGCTGATACCAAAATCTGTGGTGCTCAAGTCTCTTCCATGAAATGGCTTGGTATTTGTAGACAACAACTGTTCATCTGCCCCCATATTTTTAATGATCTCTAGATTATTTACATTACCTAGTACAATGTATAATTTAATTGTATAGTTTTTATATGCCATTGCTTAGGGAACAATGACAAGGAAAAGCCAGGACATGTCCAGTTCAGATGGAAAAAGTTTTTTTTTTTCTCCAGAATTTTCAATCTGCACTTGGTTGAATCTCCAGTTGTGAAACCCAAGGATACATATCTATACTATCTCACAAAAAAGTCTTCACAACCCCCAAGAATTTTACTATGATTGCCCCTATTCTAAGGCAGTGAAAATTAGTGCAAGGACAGGTTAAGTAAACTGACCAAAATCCTGAGCTAGAAAAGTGGTAGTGTTATGGGCTGAAGTTTGTCCCCTCTAAAATCATGCTGCAGGCCTAATTCTCAGTGTCTTAGAACGTGAGCATATTTGGAGACAGGGTCTTTATAGAGGAGAGGAAAACTAACTTGTCAGGACTGGCTCTCTTCCAAGCTGACTGGTCTCTTTCTAAAGATGAGATTAGGTCACAAACCTATGTAGAGGGAAGAACACATGAGGATACAGGGAGAAGCTCATCTGCAAGCAATGAGGTCCAGGAGAAACCGAACCTGCCTACTCACCCTCGTCTTGGACCTCTAGCCTCCAGCACATTGAGAAAATAAAACCCACCCGGCCCGGGGCACTGGTCATGGCAGCCCTTGCTAGCAGGCAGAGTAGTTGAATACAGGCTGTCAGGCATGCACAGCAAACCTTCCATTTCAGAAAACTCATGCTAATTTACAAACATATAAAAAGTCTAAATTACACATTCGTTCCAATCATCATGAACTCATAGCCAATACTGTTTCATTTCTATTCCCACCCACGCTCCCCTCTGACCGGTTTACTTTGAAACGCCCCGGGAACCCTATCAAATATGTCACGATTAATCACAATCATTCAACTTTGGCTAAAGCTTACTGTGTTCCTGAAGTGTCTATCAGTGAGACCGCTGGATGCTCCTTGGCCTATTTTAATCAAGATCTAGGGCTGGGGGTGTAACACGGTGCTGGGTATTTGCTTGGCACGCCGAGGCCCTGGGTTTGATCCCCAGCGCTGCAAAATAAAACAAAACAACAAAGATAAGGGATTTACAAAGGTCATCATTTGGCGGGGGCGTTTTCTTTCAAAGACGAAACAGTCTAGGAAATGAAGGGTCCTGGACAAAGTGGCCATGCTCCCTTCATACACCGCGAGCACTAGGGCCGCTCTCAGAGGCGCGGCCCTGCAGTTCCCGGCGGCTGCGGGAGGAGGCTAAGGGCCCGTCAGAAGAGGCCCGCTACGCTTCCACCCTGGGCCCCAGGCCACTCTCGGGAGCCTGCGCTCGCTGAGACGGGGTAACCAGGTAGGAGGGGAGTTCCGGGGGCACGACCGACACCTAGGCGAGCTCACCTCCTCGGCGACTACCGGGGACTCGGCGACACGCGCGCGGGGC